CTTCCTTTCCTTTTCTCCCTTTCCCTTTCACTCTCCCTGTCCCTTCTCCCCACCTGCTTTCTTTCTTTCTTTCTACATTGGGAACTGGAGGGCTGTGGATAACAAAATATTAGAAAAGTTAGAAAGTAAATTTTAGCCCAACCTTGGCTTACCCTTTTGGTGTAGAAGCTAGAATTTTTTTTAAGTTAGAAATTACTCAAGTTGATAAAAGGAGCTGTATTTTGTGTTGTTACTTTTCCCTGTTTTATGCTCCCATGTACTCTGTTTTCTTCTGTCTCCTTTTTTTTCCCATTTGAGACAGTGTCTTACTCTGTTGACCTGAGTGCAGTGTAGAGTGCCTTAACATCATAGCTCACAGCAATATCAAACTCTTGGGCTCAAGTGATTGTCTTGCCTCAGCTTCCAAAGTAGCTGGGGCTACAGGTACCCACCACTACTCCAGCTATTTTTTTGTTGTTGTTTGTTTATTTGTTTTTCCATCTGTTTTTAGTAGAGACAGGGTCTTGCTCTTGCTCAGGGTGGTCCTGAACTCCTGAGCTCAGGCGATCCACCCACCTCGACCTTCCAGATGCTAGGATTAAGGCATGAGCCACTGTACCGGGCTTGTTGCCCTTTTCTGATCCCACTTTTCTGTCCTGATCCCCAACATTTTGAAACCTCTCCTGAATTAACTTCACTAGGTCCTTCAAATGCCTATTTATAAATACCAATGGATATTTCTTTAAAATTATAGGGATTTGCCTTTAGCCTTTGTCCCCGCTCCATGGCACACTCTTTTAGTTTAGTTTTGTAGAAAATGCTCTGTACCACATACTAAGTTTTTATTAAAAATTTCAATAATCTTCTGTACAAACTGTTTTTATTGCAAGAAAAAAGAATTCTAATAATCACCCTCCTGCATATTAATAGTGTGTAGAGGAGGAAAACCTTTTCTCCTGCCCTTTTTAGATCATGCACCTTGGGGCTGTGAATTAAACTAACAAAAGATAGATTAACAGGAGAAAAAGGCATACACATTTTATCGATGTTAATCTTCATTTCTGTGAACAAGGGCTTCACAAAAAAGAAGTGAAACCTACAAAGGCAGTTATACCTGGCGCTTATATACTGTGGCAGTTTAACAAAGGGTAATAAATTGTGCACTAGACAAAGGACTCTTAGGACAGTAACCTGTGGGAACACCTTCTAGGAAATGTATGGTAGATTAGGTTTGTTTAGGAAGGTTCATTATGCAGGGGCATCTCTGTAGGGTCTCCAGGGCTTAAGGGGCTTCTCTTCCTGACATGGAAGAGAGACACAGTTAGAAATGGAAATTTTCTGCATAAAAGAGAAATATATGCTCTGATTTAGGCAGAAAGGAGAAGTCAGAAAGCTTCTCTTTCTTCTGCTGTTTCTTAATAGCCTTAAGTAATCCTTATGCCAAGGTGACATACTTTTGGACTGACGTATTCTGATCTCTTCAGGTATAATAGTTGGGAAAATCTATTTTAATAAAAATTTAAAAGGTAAATATGTATTCAAATATAGTCATGGATGAAGGCATATACAGACATAGCTGTATAAGTATTTATCTGTTGGCATGGCGATTATTTTTTTGTAGAGACAGGGTCTCCCTTTGTTGCCCAGGCTGGTCTCAAACTCCTGGCCTCAAGCAATCCTCCACCTCAAGCTCCCAAAGTGCTGGGATTACAAGCGTGAGCCACTGTGCACAGCTTAATTATTTTATTGGTTTACAAAGCAAAGAACAAACAGGGAGCTCACAGCCATCCTTCTACAGCAATAAAGGTTAGCTGTGGTCGTTTTGAAGTCACTAACACTGACTTATACGTGTATTTATAACACGGTGCCTACAGTTAAAGAGCCAATGAATGACTTGCACTTACAGTTATTATTTATTTTTCCATTTTGGTTTTCTGTCTGACAGCAGCAGCGTGCAGGGTCAAAGACAGCCGGCCCCCCATGTCAGTGGTCTAGGATGGCCAGTGAAGGCACCAACATCCCAAGTCCTGTGGTGCGTCAGATTGACAAGCAGTTTCTGATTTGCAGTATATGCCTGGAACGGTACAAGAATCCCAAGGTTCTCCCCTGTCTGCACACTTTCTGCGAGAGGTAAGCCTCCTTTGTGCTTGGAGAAGCTAGTTGCACAGGCTGACCTTCTACAGTCTACCACAGGATTCGTTCCCAGGATTCTACAGTTACCTTTGGGGAGACAATAAATCTCTTGTGCTTCTGATTGACATCAAAAACCAGAATCATGAGTTGCCAATAATTTAAACCATTACAAGTAACTACTGATTCATGTCCATAGGAGATAGAGCATTAAATAAATATTTTAAGATGAAAAAAGTTTTTCTTGCTCTCTGTCAAACAGTTTTTGCCAATAATAGTCCCCCAGAGAGAGTCTTTGGGGGGAGCGATTAAAAATTTATCATTTCATCTTTATAACAAATCAAGTAAAACATCTGTCAGTTCAAAAGGCAGAGCTGCTTTTCCAGAATTACCTTAGATGCATACTAATGTCACATTTGAATACTATGATATTTTAGGTAAATAAAAAAACTATATATGTACATATATAAAATAAATTATCTGATTAGGTGATTTACCATTTATGAAAACATACCCCTTCATCTTTCTTGATAGAATTTTTTTTTTGAAGGGAGTGATAGTTGTCAAAATATATTTTTACCCTATTCTTTAACTTAACAAGCAATTAAACACAAGAAGTTTGTTAGTAAATAGTTCATCTGTGGCTTATTTATAAGTATTTTCCTAGTAAGATTATATATCTTTCTTGAAAATAAATTTGATAACTATGTTGTATAGCATTTTGCTAAGTATATTTTATGTTTTTATTTAATGTACATAATTAAAATGCTTTGGTTGCTATTATAGAACAGGAAATTAGTATTTAAAATGGATTCAAGTCTGTGCTGATTACATTTAATCATTCTTTGAGGTGATTGACTTTAGAAGGTCTTGATTACAAAAGAATAACCATATTTTTGTTGGTGATGGTGGGATGCAGGGAAAAGGTAGATTTTTTACTGGGAGTGGATTTGTGTTTGTTTGGGATTGTTGTGTGTTTGTGTGTGTCTCCATGTACATATGGGTGGATATGGGATTTGGGAGATTTTTTTTTTCCCCAAGGCAATTTCTCTCTCTATTGTTTAGGTAATGTGCAGTGGCACAATCATAGATCACTGCAGCCTCAGCCTCCTGGGCTCAAGTGATTTTCCTGCCTCAGCCTCCCGAGTAGCTGGGTCTACAGGTGTACACCACCATGCCGAGCTAATTTTTAATATTTTGTAGAGATGGGGTCTTGTTGGTTCTGACCTCCTAGGGTCCTCCCACCTCAAACTCCTAAAGTGCTTGGATTATAGGTGTGAGCCACTGTACCTGGCCAGTATCAGGGGAAGGGGTGTTTTAGTGGTGGTACAGGTTTATAGGGCACTAATACTTTTCATTTTATTCATTTTACACTTTAGCTTGAGTGCTCTATAATTCATATTCCAAAATAATTAAGTTGGGTGTGATTTTCCACCTCCTACCCCCTTAGTGGATATAGCCGAAATGTGAATACCAGCCAATCCTCTGTGTTCCTGGGTACTCTTGATAGGAGTCAGAGCAGCCTGGCGGGCAGTCTATACAGAACACTGAGAGCCACTCAGTCTGAGCTTGGCAGGACTGCCCATCCCCCTGTGCTCAGTGCCCAGTCAGCCTGTCTTTTGGATCCTATTTCCTTACTCTGACAGGTGAGAAGCATCACCTCTGGGCTGCCCCAGGGCTGTCCTGCCCTTTAGCTCAATCTGCTCTCCATCCAATAGCTAGTGGTGGATATGTTCATGTGATGTGTTGAATTGTTGTAGCGTTTTATGCACATTGAAATTACCTCCTTTTGAAAGTGTTGGCGACTTTCCTTAAAATGGGAAATTTTTTTTTTGAGCTGGAATCAAAACTTCACAGCTGTCGCACTGTCAGAAGAGGGAGCCCAAGGACCCCTTACGTCCTGCTCAGCTGGATAACACACAGGCTACTTGGTGACGATCTCACGGTCACCCTCTTAGCGCCACCTTTTCCAAAACACCATCAGCAAGGCTTGAAGGAGAACAAAACCAGACATAGTCACTGGCCTCATGGTGCTTACAGCGGAAGAGCTAGTCATCAACCCCCAGATTAATATGAAATTAAACCAATGACAAGTGTATATACCAGAAGTACATAGGAAATATGTAATAGGGGAATTTACCCTAATCAGGGAGGGCTTCCCTGCAGAAGTAATGATTCAGCAGAAGCCCCAACAACACGTAAAAATTTACTAAGCAAAGGAGAGTGAGTAGAAAGAAAGAATTTCAGGTTTATGCAAAGGTGCTGTAGCGAGAGACCACGATACTTTAGAAGAACTTAAATAACCCCACTTTGGCTGGTACATGGCAAATGAGGGGGAGAGACGGGAACTGGGTAGATGCTAGGTCATATTGGTGCATGATCTATATCACATATATACACTCTTGTCTTCATTGTAAGAGCAGAAGGAGCAATATTTTCATTTCAGATGAAAAATTAAGTGGTTAGTTGAGTTTTGAGGTCTCTGGTTGCAATATGGAAAGGGTTAGAGGATACAAGAGTGGCCAGGAGCAGTGGCTCACACCCGTAATCCTAGCACTCTGGGAGGCTGAGGTGGGCAGATTGCTTGAGCTCAGGAGTTCAAGACCAGCCTGAGCAAGAGCGAGACCCCTAAAAATAGCCAGGCATTGTACTTGGATGCCTGTAGTTCTAGATATTTGGAAGGCTGAAGCAAAAGGATTGTTTGAACCTTTGAGAGTTTGAGGTTGCTAAGAGCTATAATGCCACAGCACTCAACCCCAGGGCAACTGAGTGAGACTCTGCCTCAAACAAAGAAAAAATAAAATAAAATAGGGTACAAGAGTGGATGGTCCTATACTGGGTATAAGAAATCTCAGAAAGGGTGATGTGTTGGGGATGAAGAGGATTAGGGAGGTTGGAGAGATGTTTAGGAATTGACAGGCTTTGGTGACAGAAAATGAAGGACAGCAGGGGAGTTGGTTTGAAGAATGACTCCACGTTTCTGGTTTGCTGAGATAAATTGATGGAGGTGCCATTCATCAAGCTAGGAGGAGGACATAGTTCAGGGTAAGATCAAGGGTTTGATTTTGTCTTTTTTTTCAGACGAGTCTCACTTTCTCACCCTCACTAGAGTG